AGCCCCCTCAGGGCAAGGCTACAGTTTATGGCCACTTAGAGAGACAGACACCTCAAGAACAAATTAGAGAAAAAGACAGCAGATACTGATACATGAAACCTTTTATATAAAGTGCAAAATACTTATTCCTTACCATATTCAATCCTTGTGTCAAACTTATGAAACAGGAATATGATCAAAGCTTGCACTCTATTCTTTATATCCTAAATCCAGTCCCATTGCATTGCACTTTAACTATTTGTTTACAATTTTGGTGGAATTTGTTGGTATAAGACAAGATACACTCTTCTACGTCTATATGGGAAATTTGATTTCCAGCTACTTGGCAGGTTTTTTTGCAAAATAATTACATATTCTATTAATTAAAAATGGTCATTTATCTAATATCTATGATATTAGATACTGTTCCTAACATTTTCCATTATAATTTATAGGATAATTTTCTGTATTAATCCACTACCACTACCACATAACATTTACAAAATTAAGCATTTATTCTCAGACTATTTCTGAGCCTATGTTATGCAGTGGATCATTTGTTTTTTCTAATAACTATTTGTAGGTGTTTCTCATTTTAAAAATAATATAGGGTCAGGTGCTGTGGCTCACACCTGTAATCCCAGCACGTTGGGAGGCCAAGGTTGGTGGATCAAGAGGTCAAGAGATTGAGACCATCCTGGTCAACTTGGTGAAACCCCGTCTCTACTAAAAATACAAAAAACTAGTTGGGCATGGACATGGTGGCGCGTGCCTGTAATCCCAGCTACTCAGAAGGCTGAGTCAGGAGAATTGCCTGAACCCAGGAGAAGGAGGTTGCAGTGAGCCGAGATCGTGCCATTGCATTCCAGCCTGGGTAACAAGAGCGAAACTCCGTCTCAAAATAAAAATAATATAAATGAGGTAGATGAGAGCTTCACAATATATTGAATAGTATATATTTTGTGACAATATTGATTTCAGGACATCTGACACTAATATCAGTGTTCTGAATGAATCATTTATAACAGGAAGTACTAAGTTAAATGTTAATAGCACAATATAACTTACAAAGAATGTTTTCCTAATGGGACAGACAGAAAAGTAAATAAGCATTTACAACACAGTATGATACTATGCTTGAGATGGTGCATATCTTTGTCCATTTTGTGCTAGTATAACAAAATATCCCAGACTGGATTATTGATAAAGAACAGAAATTTATTTCTTACATTTATGGAGAGTAGGAAGTCTAAGATTAAGGGACTGGCATCTATTAGGGCCTTTGTTTCTCATTATCCCATAGCAGAGAGTGGAAGGGCAAAAGAGAAGAGAGAGAGAAAAAGGAGTTGAGGGCTAAACTTGCCCTTTTATAACAAACTCACTCCTGCAATAATGGCATTAATCGATTCAATTCTCTTAATCTATACCTCTTAAAGATCCCACCTTTTAATATTGTTACAATGGGAATAAAATTTCAAAATGAGTTTTGGAAGGGACAGATATTTAAACCATAGCAGTGCTATTGTATGTAAAAAGATTTAAAATTGCTATGGAAGGTTAAAGAGAATATTCAAGATGACAGAGCTAAGCTGACTTTTGAGGAAAATTAGGAATTAGGCAAGTTAGGACAACTAAACTGGAAGAGTGTTCTAGGCAAAAGAGAGCCTATGCAGTGGTTCCGGTATGATGGAAAGTGTGTTGAGATGGTGAGCAGGAATGTGAGTAACAGGGATACTGAAACATAACATCAGAGAGGATATAGGGGCAAGATTGCAAAGTAAAATATAATCATAGTGGTAGGAAAAACATTCTGACAACAACATGGAGGACAAAAAAAGAAGAGTGGGGAAAAAGGCAAAGAGAAAAATAAAGTACAGTTAGAAGGGTGTGGAATTAATCCTGTGAGCAGTGACTGCCATGTGAAATCAGTAGTATTGAAAGAGACAGGAAAATGGGGAAGACTTCAGTCATTGTTTCAGTGCAGGGATGAAAGAGAGAACTAACAAGCACTTAAAACCAGATTTCCTTTAGACACTCCTAGTTTACCAGATTCTTCATTGCTACTATGAGAAAGGAACAGATTTTGTGGTAGATGGGAGATAATAAATCAGTTTAGGACCTGCCTCCTTAGTGCAGTAGGCAGCATATGAGTCTCATACCTTTATTTGAGGACACATTGAGTTAAGGGGGTCTTATAATATATATAAATCAGAATTTTTATTATAGAATTTAATGGGCAAATATGAGCTCAGAACAGAACTCAAGGCAGATAAAATATTGACACTCATGGGTGTATGAATAATGAGTGAAATCTTTGAAATGTATGTCTTCACCAAAAAAAAAAAAAAAAAAGAGTCTTTAGAAGTCATGTTCATAGATAATGAAAACTGGTGAACACCAAGAGACAAGAACTGAGTAGACAGAAAAGGCCATGATGCAGCTGCAGCAGAATATATGCAGGAGAAAGTGGGTTTTCCAGGATTTCAAGACAAAAGAGCAAGTGAAGGATAAAAGTGGTCAACAGGGTAAAGTTGAAAAGAAACCAAGAAAAATAACTGAAAGTCAATATTCCTACCAAGTGACCATTTACAAATTTAACCAGACTTATTTCAGCAAACACATCAGTGTCAAAACCAGGTTTCAAGTGTTTGAGAAATTAATAGAAGAAAAATTGGAAACAAGTCTTAGTGTGAATGAGTTAATTCGATTCCTGAGTGTAAATGAAGGAGACAATTAAAGTCAATGCAAATATGGATTTAAGGGTACTTTATGTGTTCTTGTCTGTTTCTTTTTTTTTTCTTTTTAAATTCAAAACTAAAACAGGATTAAATGATGAGAAAGACTTAGTAGAGGGAATAAGGAAGAGGTGATGGGATAAGGTCACAGAGATGGTGACCTTAGCTTTGCACATGGGAGAAATAGTCAATTTTTCCCAGAGAGACAGACAAAGATGGTGTGTCAGTTTATCCTACTTTGCAATACCTCACATAAACAAAAGAAAAATAATATATTATTGATGATGATAGCTGTATTATGTACAAATTAGAACAGAAATAGAACTTAAGATCTGTTTTTAATGAAAGATGAGAAAATAAAAAGAGTAAATGTGTAAATGTTCAGATAGCATAAGACTGACATACAGAGCAACAATTTAGAGGAAAATAACTTCGATCAAGAGAGTCTAGTTAACCTTCTAAAGCTAATAGGTATTTGCATGTTTAATCAGAGATGGTGTATATAAATTAGGGCCAGAACAAGCTGTTTCTAAATAGAAACAGCTCAAGTCAGTTCCAGTCCTCTTCTTTAGACGCCAAATGCACTTCCAGCCCAACTCCCTCATTAAAATTCCTTTTTTTTCCAATATGTTCTTCCAAAAACGTATTGGCATAAAATATGCATGTGTTTTATTTTCTCCTTTTCCTATATCAGTGCTCTTAGAGTTCAGGTCTTTACCTATATAAATATATTTAAATCCCATTGATTGTGATAGATTTGACAGCTTAATTTGTCTCACATGTTATTTATCTATGATTTCCCATCTCGTTTCTACATCACTAGGAATGTTTGAACAATTGCTCATTTAAAAAACACCATTACTTTTCCTAATTTTCCTCATGACCAATACCTTTTCTACTCTGACAAATTCAGTTTATTTCTTTTAAGTATCTTGGTAGCTTGTCTGAGTTTCTGGTAATATTTTCTTTACAAATGTCCTTAAGGTTGTTGATAATTCATTTATGATTAGTAGCATTTTATTTGTCTGCTCAACACTTTGAATTTCTTTTTGGCATCTTTCCATAAACCTTCAACTTTTCTTTCATTGATTTCTGGCCAGGGCTTGTTTAGCAATTTGAATTTGAGTAGTTCTGTTGATTACTAATTTTGTTGATTACTAGTTCTACTGATTACTCATTCTATTGATAGAAAGTTGGGGAATGTGTTTCTGAATTACAGTTATCTCTGGTGCTACATTGGGATAATCTTTTTGCATTATTTACTGGAGTTTTTTAAAATTTTTTTGTATTAGGTAAGTTTAATTCCTACTACAGAGACTCCAATATCTCTGCCCAAACAAGATACAGGGTAAAGTATGCTTTGTGTGATGGTCTAGAGATGGGCAGTTGGTTCAAGAGTGGAAAGCTGATCCAACAAGGAAGTAGCCCATCAGAAAGTCACAGAAACTTAAATTTCTTTTGATTTATTATCACCTAGAATCTTTATTTTACATAAATGCATCCAAATGCTAGCATATGCAATAGAGAAAATGAAAAGCAAGCAATCACCTTCTAAAATGCTATACTTAAGTACTTAAACGGAACAAATTAATTCTTCTTTGTTTGTTTGTTTGAGCTGGCATTTGGCTGTCACCCATGGAGTGCAGTGGCATGATCTTGGCTCACTACAATCTCCGCCTCCTGGGTTCCAGCGATTCTCCTGACTTAGCCTCCTTAGTAGCTGGGAATAGAGGTGTCTGCCACCACTCCCCGTCAACTTTTTGTGTGTATGTATTTATTAAAGATGGGATTTCACCATTTTGGCCTGGCTGGTCTTGAACTCCTGATCTCAAGCCATCCTCCTGCCTTGGCCTCTCAAAGTGCTGATATTACAGGCATGAGCCACGAGGCCTGGCTGCAAATTAATTGTTTTAAATACAGCCTTACCCAGCTGTAAGAGAAACTGACATAAAAATAATTTTTGATTAGGTGTTAGGGAAGCCATGAAAATACGCCATTCAGATCTCCCTAAAGAGAAGATAGTACAATAGGTCAGTTGTCTGACTCTATCCAGTTAATTCACTGAAGCATTTCAGTCAAGGTCATGCTCTCCTTGGCCTGTACCAAGCTATCCAATGAGTTTATTAGCATGCTAAATCATTTCTGCCTAACTTGCAGCTTCTCTAATAGGCATTTTTTTTTCTTTTTCTTTTTTTCCTGCTTTTTTTTTTTCTGGAACTGCTTATCAGTTTGGCATATATTTTCTTAAAGCTATACCAAATCCCAAGACTCTTATTATCCAATCAACTTACCTCCATTTGTCCTTTCACAGATATTACACTGTATCAGGATCAGAAAGTGATCCTTGTCAACTACTGATATTTTTCCTCTTGGTCTGGAAGTGAAATCTCTCTTACATGGAATTCTACCTTGGCATTTGCTTTCCAGAGGACCCAAAATGATATAGATGGTCATATGCCCAATTAAAACCATAGGGGCTCTGTCAAAAAAGATGACACATATAATAAATTTTAGAGACATTTAACTGTCCCTAATCATCTGCAATTCTGTTCCAACAAGATCCATACAGATCAGTCTTCTCTTACATAAAACACATTGACTTTCTCTACAATGAAGAAAATCCAACTTTCTAAGCAATTACTTCAACGAGTTCAAAACCTAGTATCTCTGAGTAATGCAATATTTCTTCCATTTAATTAGTTTGTAATCCTGAAAAACTGATATATATATAAAAAATAAATTATCTGCTCACATTGAATATACAATGGTGGAATTGCATATTTGTTAAATACAATGAAAACTATCAATTGGAAAAAGGAAGAATTCAAACATGTCCAGTTATCAATTTCTAATAGGCAGGAATCAAGGTAAATCCTTTTCTGTTTCTTTTCTTTCTTTTTTTTTTTTGTGCTTTAGGTTCTGGGCTACATGTGCAGATCATGCAGGATTGTTGCATAGGTACACACATGGCAATGTGGTTTGCTGCCTCCATCCCCCCATCACCCACATCTGGCATTTCTCCCCATGTGATCCCTCCCTGACTTCCCCTGTCTGTTTATATATTATTATTATTTTCTCTCTCTCCCTCCCTCTCTCTCTCTCTCTCTCTCTCTCTCTCTGTGTGTGTGTGTGTGTTTTCTGTCTGTAAACTAAGTTATTTGGTAAGTGCACCTGGTTGTACCTTGTACTTGTCTCTGGAAGTTGCTTTTCTGTACCTTGTTATTTATGTTTTTGTGTTTTGCTCTTGGAGATGTAGTTTCTTAGTGATTTAAGGTACATAGTATTCATGTTCAATACCAGCATGTTGCTCCCCACTTACAAGGATAGGAATGAGTTGATCTCATATGCCATCTTAAAGTTAACTATGGCTATATGACTTGTGTTGGCCAATAACATATAGGAAAGCATCTCTGTGATAGTGTAAATGTATGTTAATATGGGGGTATAAAGGTACAATGCTAAATTATACAGACTATCAGCCCAGTAAAGAGGCTTGAACTCACATCAGACATTGTAGGCTCCAGAAATAAACCTTTCTAAAGTCTATGCCACATAGATATTTATAATATATCAAAACACAGTCTACATTGACTGATACATACTTTTTCTTCATAACCACATTGAAATGTATACTGGAACATGTGCCTTCTCCAGGGCGTGATGAGCTTTTAGAATCTACTTACTGCTACAGCAGGTTTGGGAATCCAGGAGCTTTTACAGAAATAAAACCATCACAGGTAATATTGTAATTTAGGCTTGGTTCTCTGGCAAGAAAATTATGCAGTGGGTTTCTAGTGTAATTGCTTCCAGAAAATTCCACTTTTGAGTAACCAAACCTAAAGATCTCTTTTTTACGTCATAGTTAAGCTTGTGAGTTCTTTTTTGTTTACTGGCTTCTGTGTGTGAGTCATCTGTTGCCTACTGGTTGTAATGAAGACACACAAAGCAATACGCCACCCTAAACATCTCTCTTTAATGAATTTTTACCATGGATCTGAATAATAATATCTGGCTGAAATACCTAATGAGATGCCTCAGAGAAAATCTCTGAACAAGAATATCTCCTGCTTTTTATAATTGAGTAGCTTTTCTAAGCCTCTTAGAGACCCCAAATTATTGAATTCTCATCCATTTTTCCTGTTACTATAGTCTTGGTGAGCATGTTGTCTGCCTTCGAGGTTATCACACAATAATTTAACCAAATAATTTGCAAGAGCATAATGAGGATCACTAGCTTCTCAGCCTGCCAGACTATCTGCCTCTCAAGTTTTAAGCCAGCACCATGTAGTTCAGAGGTGTGTGTGTGTGTGTGTGTGTGTGTAAGAGAGAGAAAGATGACTAAGCTTCCTCAGTGTTTTCAGCGTATATATCACTGAAAAGAGGTCTGAAAATAGTCATTTAAACTAGGTTAAGATTTATTTTTGTCTCAGCTGAGCAGAAATAAGTAAGTGATTGAGAGAATCTGTAGTCTTTTATATAGAACCATTCAGGGTTCCAGTTTTTTTTTCTCTTTTGTTTGTTTGTTTAGTTTAGTTTTGTTTCATTTTTTGTCATCCTCTGTTGTTGTCACTTACGTGGTCATTGCCCTTACAAAACTATGATCTGGCTTCAGCACTTGGAAAGAATGGAAGAGAAGTATAAGAAAAGTGGTTTTCTTGTGCAAAAAGAAAAGTGGAAATTGTGAACATCACTTACCAAAATGTTCATATCTAGCTGTAATAAATATATTTATTAATAAAGTGATGAATTTTCATCTATAGTTAAACCCTTGAGGGTAAAAAAATGACCTTTCTAAAAGGAGAGAGAATCTATAGAGGGAAACAATTAACAGATGTTATAAAAATATTGGTAAAGCATTTGGCACACTGGCTGACAAATAATGATCATTTAATGTCTCCTTTATTGGTTTCTCTCCTGTCACTTAATAATTTGGATTGAGAGCAAGCATAAGACCATGTAGACCTAACTTAGCAGCTTTGCTAGGTTCTACCGTTAAATAACTTCTTACTCTGTTTACACTATACCCAGTGCTTAAGGTATATTTAAAAGAGAATTACCTATATTTAAACTTTACACAGGTAAAGACTTAATAAAACCTACTAGTGGTATACTGCTCCTGGTGCTCCAATTAACACTCAACTGATATTCATGGAATGTCTAACAAATAATAGGTCCTCTGGTGAACAGAGTATGCAATTATATTCCTTCATGCTAAGAATGTGATACATGTTTAAATTATTTCATGCAAGGATAGCAAGGATATTTTTATATTCTCTAAATACTTTGGGGTCCACCAATCTGTGAATGAATTATAGCAATGAAACAATAAAATCTGTCATCTGTGTCAAATATATTTTCCAAGGAGTATTCCAAACTATACAGTGTACAGTGTTTTGAAAAGAAATATTTAAATGCCTAATTAGAAAAAAGTTAAAATTTTTTATAAAACATTCCAGGTAATATTTTGTAACTTTTATTTAAGATGCCATTGTAAGTAGAAAAACCATGTTATATACATGGATTTAATACCCCACTCTCTTTTACTACTGTGATCCAAAAGAATGAATATATAAATAAATAAATATACACAAACATGCACATATATATGTATATATACACACACATATATGGATAAAAGGATAAGTATATATCCTCTTATATCTATATCCATAGATACATAGTTATCCTCTTATCCATATGTATGTGGATATATGTATTTATCCTTTTATTATATATCTTGCTCTCTCTGTATATATGGAGTAACAGGATAAGTGTAACTTCAGAAAAAACTTTGAAATTCAAACTAAATATTTTTAAAATATGAATACCTTTAAAATGCCAATTCTGATATTTGAATGTACCTGTATCCCATGAATATTCCAATATTTATTAGAATGGAATAATGAACCTACAGAAAGATAAGTCTACAAAGAGTGTTAATACAAACACTCTATATAATAATTACACTGGATAAGTTTTGTTTTGTAATAAACAACCCTAAGCTTGAATTTATAAAATTAAGCATTTATTTTATGCACAAAATGCTGCAGGACAGCTCTCACTGTTCATGACTCTACTGGGCTATATTAGTTCATTTTCATATTGCTGATTAAGACTGGGCAATTTACAAAAGTAAGAGGTTTAATGGACTCATAATTCCATGTGTCTGGGGAGGTCTTACAATCATGATGAAAGATGAAAGGCACATCTCACATGGCAGCAGTCAAGAGAAGAAGGAGAGCCAAGAGAAAGGAGTTTCCTCTTATAAAACCATCAGATCTTGTGTGGCGTATTCACTACTACAAAAACAGTATGGGGGAACTACCCCCATGATTCAATTATCTCCCACTGTGCCCCTCCTACAATATGAGAGAATAATGGGAGCTGCAATTCACAGTGAGATTTGGTGGGGACCCAACCATGCCATATTATGAGCTCAGTGAGTCTCCTCATCAGGTCTTAAGACGTTCTACTATCCCCAGGCTATCCCAGTGTAGTACTCCCTTCGCTGTGTTCATGTGTGCTCAATTTTTATCACCCGCCTATGAGTGAGAATGTGTGGTATTTCATTTTCTGTTCTTGTGTCAGTTTTCTGAGGATGATGTTCTCCAGATTCATCCATGTCCCTACAAAGGACATGAGCTCATTGTTTTTGATTGCTGCATAATATTCCATGGTGTATATGTGCTACGTTTTCCCAGTCCAGCCTATCATCGATGGGCATTTGGGTTGGTTCCAGGTCTTTGCTATTGTAAACAGTGCTGCAATGAACATTCGTGTGCATGTGTCCTTATAGTAGAACGATTTATAGTCCTTTGCATATATACCCAGTAATGGGATTGCTGGGTCAAATGGAATTTCTATTTCTAAGGTCTTGAGGAATCGCCACACTGTCTTCCACAATGGTTGAACTAATTTACACTCCCACCAACAGTGTAAAAGTGTTCCTTTTTCTCCACATCCTCTTCAGCATCTGTTGTCTCCAGATTTTTTAATGATTGCCATTCTAACTGGCGTGAGATGGTATCTCATTGTGGTTTTGATTTGCATCTCTCTGATGACCAGTGATGATGAGCATTTTTTCGTATGATTGTTGGCCTCATATATGTCTTCTTTTGTAAAGTGTCTGTTCATATCCTTTGCCCAATTTCGAATGGGCTTGTTTGTTTTTTTCCTGTAAATCCGTTTGAGTTCTTTGTAAATTCTGGATATCAGCCCTTTGTCAGATGGGTAAACTGCAAAAATGTTTTCCCATTCTGTTGGTTGCCAATTCACTCTAGTGACTGTTTCTTTTGCTGTGCAGAAGCTGTGGAGTTTCATTAGGTCCCATTTGTCTATTTTGGCTTTTGTTGCCAATGCTTTTGGTGTTTTGTTCATGAAGTCCTTGCCTACTCCTATGTCCTGGATGGTTTTGCCTAGATTTCCTTCTAGGGTTTTTATCGTGCCAGGTCTTATGTTTAAGTCTTTAATCCATCTGGA